GTAGGTCACCGTGCGCTTGTAGCCATCGGGATCGATGAGGCTGTAGAAGCCGCGCACCACATAACCATCGCGGGTTTCGCTGTGCTCCTTGATGTCCCCGGTGCTCTCGTCATTCACGGCATAGTTAAAACTATAGCTGGCCGGTGGATAGACCTCGGGCTCCCGAGGTTGGCTAAGAACGGAGGAGACCACCACTGAATCCTGATTCTGATGCTGACTCTGACTAACGGGAACTGCCTCCTGATCCTGGTGCTGATCGGCGGAAACCACCTCCGAATTCTGCTCCTGACGAAGAATGGGCAGCGGTGAGGGCAGCAGAACGGACTCGGCATTGGCCGCACTGGCCGCATTCTGGAGGAGATTAGAGGCCTGAACACTGGCTGTCCGACTGCCGGCGGCAAACTGATTCCTGGTGGGCGCCAAATAGTCATAGCCATCGGGCGTGGCCTCCGAGTTCAAGGCATTGTTGCTGGGCGTGTGGTAGTCGCTCAGGAAGTCCTCGCCAGAACTACCGGACGCACTGCGTTCCAGGGAGTTGACCGCCTTGGCCGACTTCTCGTTGTAGTTGTACTCCGCTTGGACGGCGGCGAAAAGGGCCAGCGACAGCAGGGCAAAGAACTAAAAAATAATAAAATACCAAAATTTTAAAAATATTCATTTTTCTAAGACTTTTAAAGGACATTATTCTATATATTTTAATGAATTTTCTATACAAAAAAATCATATATCCTTGTGATCCGGGCTTCTCTTATTTATTCCAAATCAGTTTGTTTTAGGATCCATCACAACTCACCTTAGCTGCCATCTCGAATCGTTTGGATCTTCCTTCCGTGCGTTTGCCTCCACAAATTTGTCAGCTAACTGATATCATAATTGAAGCAACTCGGACTTTTTATACTTCATCCCATTTTCAGTTTATTACCCAATGGGTGCCGTTATACAATGTCATGCGCCACAATTGATCGATTTACTATTGTCCAATTTGAGACTACAATGTGTTGGCAACACTTTCATTTTCAATTTGTGACCATTTTTATGCTGCGTAAGTGCAGACGCTATGGAAAGATGATACAGCTATGCGGATCACCAAAAAATAAGAATTGGAGCAAAGGTTTGAAATAAATTTGGAAGAAAATAAAATATTTTTTTTATTCCGCGTATGACAGACGAAGAAAGAACTGTCTGAAGATATAATTGTTCAGGTTTTTCTCAAATTTTAATCTTAATCTTTGATCAAATCAACTTCGCTAACCTTTTAATCGATTTAAAAGAAGTTCTTTCGTTACTAATAGGTTTTTTGACCAAACATCTGCCTATAATAGCACAACCCATACGCACCCAGAGATTTCATACCAGTCGTATGATAACCCATGGAGTTCCTTAACCCCACTTACACTGTCTGGTAAATGTAATTGTTTATTTATTTTATATTACTCTAAACAGATAATAAACCAAAATAAATATTCTTGTAACCTTAAATCATGATTAAAAACCAAATTTCTTGCTGAAAACTATTTATGAAAATTTTGCCACGGGTTTCTATACTTTCGGCACGCTTAAAACATTTTCAGCATGCTTATTTAAGTTACATAATTTTTTGAATCATTAATATTCTAATTTCCTATCAAACTTAATTGAGAATCCCATTTGACTGGGTATCCCTAATCTCCCAGCGAATCGCAAAAGTTTTGATGGCTTTTGATAAGAAAACAAAGCAAACCGGTTGCTGGCCAACTGATTTCGGCTGATTGGCCTGATCGTCATCGTCTGGTCAAAACAAACCAAGCCAGCTGTCGGCAATCGGGAATCGAACGTCGCGGAGAACACAACGCTATAGCGCAGAATGACGGCCAAGATTAAGTTGCGGTCTCAGCTGCATCTGCTGACGGGTTTCATGGCGGGATTCATCTTGGCCTTCGTGCTGCTCCTCTATGTCTACGATGTGAGCCGGGTGACGCCTTGTTGGAGCAGTTCCTCTACCATGTCCACGGTAATGGGCAGGGCTGAAGATCTATCGACCGCGCCGCGAATACTTTGCATGGTGCTCACCTGTCCGGAAAACGTGGAGAACTTGGCCCGGGCGGTTCACGATACGTGGGGCCAGCGGTGCAGCCAACTGATCTTCGCCAGCAGCGAGGACTACGAGCCACTGGGTGTGGTCAAGGGTGGTCGATCCCAGTAATGGTGGCTACGAGGATCTGTGGAACAAAACCAGAGAGGGATTCCGCTACGTTTGGGAGCACTACGGTCGCGATTTCGATTGGTTCCTCAAGGCGGACGATGATACGTGCGTATAACTAATCGGGAATTTTCCTAAATTTACCTGCGGCATCTTTTATCTAAGCAGATATGTGGTCATGGAGAATCTACAGCACCTGCTTAGCGGCTTCGATCCGGATACACCCGTATATTTTGGCTACAAGATGTCACGATATAATGTGGTGAGTGATAAACGTTGAACATGTCCACCATTAACTTCCGGCTTTGTGCTTATGTTGTGGTAAATTATAAACCTAATCGATTATATGTTCGGTGCACTGGGAAAAATATTAAATATATTTGTCACTTGGGGATATATTAGTTCTGGAAATTAAACCATTAAAGTTGTTCGGCTTTTGGGATTTCTCTCTGTGCATATGATTTATTTGATAAGTGATCTAGTTGATCGCTGCCTTTAGCTTCTAATTAACTGGTCATCTTGCATGTTATTGTCGCCCGCTTGTTAAGCTAATTTGAATTTATAATTTTTGTTTTGCATTTGACAGTTTAGTTTTGCTTTTCGGGGTATTCTTAAATTATTTCTACCGAACTCAGAGATAATAGTTTATCTATGTCAATTAAATCAATTGAAAAAGAATTTTGGGAAATGTTAAGTCTTCCCTTTCTTTTACAAAATATTTAAAATTAATATCAAGGTTTTTAGCACACATAATAAAATATAAGGATAGTTCTAGAAGCAATAATAGTTTATTATTTTCCAATCCATTAATTAAAATAAACAATAAACGGTAATTAAATCTCTTTGAAATTTATCGCTTTCCTTTTTACGATATTTGGTGAAGAAATGTGCTAATCACGAAATGCTTTTTGTTGAAATAACCGGTCCTCTTTTGTGAGTGTAATCTCAATAACAACTAATAGCGATTTATTGTCCAGTGTCTGGGGGGTAAACAAACATTAAATCTATTATGGGTAGGATGATATCATGCAGAACAGCTGAGATCTTGCCTGGCCAAAATGCTTCTTGTCTTGGCGTTTTCCGTGTGTGCATAGATCAATCGGACTCAACGATAATAACAATAAGAAATTAAATTCGCATTAACAATCGTTGCTGCAGTCTGCAGAGACTAATGGCAGTGCTTCACCTGAGGTCATCGCGATTACCTGTCACGCATCTTTCATAGCCGCGCCTTTTCGGCAGTAGCCGCAGATTTATTTCGCCTTTTGGCATTTCCAAGAGTTGAGCAAGCTCTTTGTGGCACCAAGTACATTTCGTCTGCATACGTTTGTTTGCACATAAATAAACAAATGAGTTATGGAGGGCCAGTCGGGCCCACATCTGGTCATCCGGCCAAAAACTAAGATATTAAACATTTTCTTTGTTTCAGCTTCTGCTTCTCTCACACTTTGAATGGGTTTTATCGCTGGTTGATTATTCCTAATGCATCATAAATGTTATAATGATTTGTGATTGATTGTTGTGATTATTTTACCTGACTATGTTTAAAACTATCTGCCTTTTTTTTTGTTTTGGAATGCGAGATCTTCGCTATTCGGCCAATTAACATATTTTTAGGCTTCCATGAATTATGCATTTATATTATGCAGTGTTAGAAGCACTCAGAAAAAAAATTAGATAGAGAAATTGTGCTTATAAATACTTCATTGGCTTAATGTTTTTTAAAATTCAAAAAACCAAATTGATAATGTGACACTTTTCAGCAATATAATCCGACATAATCCCTAGTCAAATGAGACAATTTACTGAATTCGATATTTCACTTCCATTAATTTGTGAGCTTTTCTTGTTTACAAGTGCGTTTGATGCGTATTTTGACACATCATTCCCCGCTGAGCGACCTCCAAAAGGGGATTAAATACATCTTGAGTTCGTCGGTGGCTATGTTAAAAACCTTATACCGTTACTAAAATTTCGGATAACTTTGACTTTTCGGGTCTTTGATGTGAATATTCATACTTCAGCATTAACATTTTCTTAAGATGTGCCAACTGGTTTTGGAAGTTAACACAGGGCGTGTGCTCTGTTGATCTTAGACTTTATGGAGTATCATTTGTGATAATCCCGAATAATGATGTTTGTTTTTTTCCAGAGTTATATGTCTGGCGGTGCTTCGTACATTCTGAGTCGTCAGGCACTCCATCGATTTGTGCAAAAAGCATATGGATCTGAGGTGATTTGTCCACAGCCAAAAAAGATGGGCATCGAGGACTTTTACATGGGCGTGTGTCTGCAGAATGTGGGTGTCCATTTTGTTGACTCATCACAGTCTTTGGATGGGGATACGAAACCAAAGTTTATGCCTCTGGATCTTGAGAACTATATGTCGGATGCGAATTACACTATTCCGGACTGGTTGCGCCTAATGAGTTTCTCTCAAGTTGAAACTGTGAGTAATACAATTTTATCAAAAAATAGTTCAACATAATATTTAACAAAATATTACTACTTATATTTTTAGGGCTTGAGATGTTGCTCCAACTATTCTGTGGCTTTTCATTATGCCAGTCGCGAACGAATGCTCCTCTACGAGTTTCTAATCTATCACCTCAAAGTGTTTAGTGCTAACCAGATTTTCGAAAGAAATCATAGGAGTCGATTAAGCTTATCGGATTTAATGGAGCGATTTCCCCTAGAAGATAACTCCAATATAAAAGACTTGATACAAATGTCTGAGAAACCAGATAATTTTTAGTTAGTTGTATAAATAAATGTGATATGAATTAATGAATATAAATATGGTATTAAATAAGCTTGTAATTATACCGTGTTCAATATGGTCTATATTGCGTATTTCGTATGTAAACATTAAATCATTTTAGATTTATTTTTTTTTGTAAAGTCAAGAACCTGGAGAATCAGATACAAAATAAACGTCCGAAATATATTTAATTTAATGTTCTATCCCAGAGATACAGAATTTTTATAAGTAAAAACAATAGCCTACCCTTAAATCTTGAAAGAATTTTTTAAACTAAAATTTGTATCTAAAATTATAACGAATTTGATAAAAAAATGCATCATTCAAATGATGATAAACAACAATAAAATGTTTCATCATAATGTATGACTACCCTAAAATTTTCGGGAAGAGTTTATTAAGCTCTGATTAAAACAGTGAGGCATTTTAAGGCACTGTTAAATTTTTGATAATTTAAATTTTTTGCTATTTTATTTAAACGGATTGGTTTAGTCGTTGGCTTAGCACTGGCGAAGAAGGTAATAATTTTGTTTAGTGAGTGAAATTGAATTTTTTTATTAAATAAATCCCGTTGTTCATTTGACGAATAGAAAGAATAAGCTTATGATTATGCCTCGCGATGAAATCACAAAGTTTAAATAGTTGCTATGAATGAATCATTTCAAATGCAGATACGCAAAGGCGCAATAAATCAAATATTTTTGGTTTAATTTGCATAATTTTCTTTTTGCAGATCACAGATAATGGACACAGTGGTGGTCTATATCGATCCGCAGGCCCAGCTGGAAGCAGCTCTGGCCAGTAAAGACATTAGGCAATTTCTCGCCGCCCTGATAAGAGGTGCTAGAGCTGATTTACAGGGAGGTCGTGGGATGAACATATACGAAAAGGCACTGTCAACACCAGGCTGCCAGGAATTTATAAAAGCATGCATCACACATGGCTGCCAGGTCAATTATGTAAGTAGTGCACCCAGGTGCAATGAGAAGCTACTCAAGCCCGCCATCAGCTATGCCGCCGACTCAATGGATTCCGGAAATCTGGCTGCGCTACTTCTCGAACGTTCTGGTGATACGGTCCAGGTGGATAGAAAATACGCTCATGTCACTCCACTAAACTCGCTGGCCAGCCAACTGACGGAGGATAATGCATTTGAAGTGCTAAACTGCATGCGAATTCTGCTGAAATACGGCGCTTCTACGAACTCCGTAAACCAGAATGGTTTCACGCCCCTGCACCACATTCTTTTAAGTAAAGGTGAAAACAGCGAGACTGGAGTTGGTGAAGCTCTTCCTGGACCATCCAGACATTGAAATCGACCACTACCACGGGGGAAGTGTGCGCCGACTACTGCAGGCTGAGTTCCCGGAACTTCCACTGCCAAGAAGGATCGAGCCCTTTTTCGTTTTTGGTGAACTTCACACAATTAAGGTAAAGAGGGACGAGGCTTGGTTTGTGCAGCTTATCGCCCAGCACGGTTCGTTCAAAGACATGGAGGAAGAGCAAAAAAGAGAATATATGGAGCTTCTACAATATTGTATCCTTAGGGACTGGCAGGAAGCTTTCAAAGCCATGCTGGCTACTGACGCCAAATGGGACATCAACTGTACCTTATATTGCCCCAAAAAAAATACTCTCGTTGAATGGGCCGTAAGGTGCGGTAACTGGCGGGCGTTGGAACACCTCCTCAAATGGCCAGACCTACGATTGGACGGTCTTGGAATACTGAACAAGTCTATCGATACACTAGAGTTGAAACCCATCCGTGACTTCGACTATCACCGCTGTTTTTCGTTGCTTTTAAACTCAGAATTCGCTAACGTTAACGAGACCACTCCCGATTATTCCGCACCGCTTGCCTATGCGATGAAAGTACGCAACACGGTGGCGATGCAGAAACTCCTGGAGTATGGCGCCTACATTGGCTCTCAGAGAGCCTCTGAAAGGCCTCCCATCGAGGACATGCCACCCGAGGTGCTCGAGGATCATTTTGATTCTTCCATCAAGGCAAACAAAAAAAATCGCGGTGACAAAGACTTTGAGATCATTATCAGAAACCATAGCCTGATACCTATCGATGCTCTGGTTCACGACGAAATGTCCCCCATCATTTTCATGGCCCAGTCGGAGGAGTTGCGCCACCTGCTGCAGCATCCACTTATCTCCATATTTCTCTACCTAAAATGGCGGCGAATTCGCGAGGTGTTCTACCTAAATCTAGTGCTCTACTCGTTATTCACAATTTGCATTATCACCTATACACTTCTTAAATTGTACGGGAGCGAAAACATTTTGGGTCTCACGATAACATTACGAGTGTGTTCCTGTGTGGGGACTGGCTGTCTAATCCTTCGGGAGACTGTTCAGTTCATGATTGCTCCTGCTCGGTACTTGAAGTCCCTAACAAATGTCTTGGAGTGGATTATTATAGTATTATCCATCCTCACCTGCATTGAATTAGGATTCATCGAGAAGACGCATCGCATTTTGGCCGCCTTTACCATCCTTCTAGTTTCCATAGAGTTCTGCTTGCTTGTTGGATCTCTGCCAGTTTTGGCCATTTCGACGCATATACTCATGTTGCGCGAGGTTTGCATCAGCTTCGTGAAGAGCTTTTCCCTTTATTCCATCTTCGTAGTGACCTTCAGTCTGTGTTTCTTTATTCTCTTTGGGAAGGAGAAAGATAAGGATGTTGATAGCACCACACCGATGCCGGACAATATAGGCAGTACCACGCAGGCACCGGAAGAGGAAAGTATTCCCTTTGACTTCTCAAAGCCTTTTGTGGCCCTAATCAAGACCATTGTTATGATGACGGGCGAACTGAATTCCGGGGACCTAGACTTTACTAGCATTTTTACATACTTGTTCTTCCTGCTCTTCGTGATGTTCATTACGATCGTGTTACTCAATCTGCTGAACGGTCTGGCCGTGAATGATACCCAGGTGAGTTTATCTGTAATATTTGTATGGAAATTTTTAAGGTCCTACTCTCACCCTCTTATACGGTGCGCATTGTGGTATTCAAGGTATACGAAAGAAAATTTAAAAAATCGTGTTTTAGGGTCTGCGAATTGGCTTCAAAGTTTATCACCCATACGCACTTTTGCCTTTGATCAACAATTCAACAATTCAGTTGATGTTTTGCTCTCCCTTTTTTACAAATTATTCCAAAAAAAATCATAATTTCACAAGAGAAGAAATGAGAGAACGATTTTTTTCGACCAAATTAGAACTGTTATACGTGTCGTATGATTTTTTTTTATTTTTTAAGAAAAATTTTGAAGGCGTTTCGCAAGGTCTAGATCACGAAAAAATATTTTTTGATTTCACATAAATTTTTTGCTTACTGTAACATGAAGGGGTGAGAATAGAATTTCATTTTTTGGACCGCCCTAATAGTCCCACTAAACAACTTATCACTTATCTTATTCCCCTTAGAATATCAAGCAGCAGGCGGAACTTAACGGTGTAATTTGCCGGGCCTACTTGGTCAGTCGGTACGAAGGGTTGCTAAAAGGTGGAGGACGCGAAGAACCCATCTTCAAGGGCACCAAGGTCATGCGGATCATCTGCCAGTGGTTGCACTTGTACCCCAAGTACGTGAGTCCTCGCCATGTTGTTATTAGGCCGAATGATAACAACCAGGTGCTCACATTTGGACGCAATATCCATGAGAAAAGGGCTCTGGAGCCACAGCCATGGTGCTTTTCCTTTTTCAACAAAAACTCATCCCGCATCCCCAGCGAGATGGTCAAGATGGCGATGAAGGCGATGGAAACAGCAGAGCAAAGGCAAAAGCTAAAAAAGATCAAAGAACGTCGGGAAAAACTCATCGAGGACAAGCTGACAAATATGGCCAAAATGCTGAAGGAGCTCCAGGAGCGGAAATGAAGAATTAATATTATTTGATCATTTAAATTTTTAGATAGCCTCAGTAAATTATTTTTATTAACAAAAACCGTATATCATGTAGCATACGTTTAGGCTTTGCGATATAAGAAATGGCCGCTCGGGAAAAATGGCGCCTTAAAATCATTTTTATTAAAAGCCCCAAAGCAATATTTATAGACAATTTTTTTTATAAACTAACTTAGCTACAAAATTATAAAAACTAAATATTTTATATCACCTATAATTTAATTCCAATTAAATATGATACAAAATAACTTGAAAATTATTTTTTATGGCAATGAAGAGTACTCAAAGTTCGCCAACACGGAGTTCAGCATGAGCTGCATTTACGGAGTTGTGTCTGTAAAATTCTGCAAATGGTATTAAGCGGATGGCACATGGTCTGTAATATATTTTATAAATTTATTGCACTGGCCTTGCTAACTCTATAGGTATTTAATTAACACCTGGCATCTACACATATTCCAAATGGCAGTGTTGGAGGGATTCAAACTGCCATATAAAGCCCAAAACCCGGTGAGTATTACTTGGCTATCCTTCACTTGGGGCATTCTTGCATGAAGGGCTGACCAACTGAACTGCACTGGCCGGCTAGGCTGGAGTTTTCATTACCAAAGTCAATGCCTCAGGTTCACCTTAATGCCGCTTCACCTGCTTCAGTTTACCCAACTTATGTAGGTACAAACACATACCCACAGCATGTGTTGCCAGGCCAAAGTTAATTAAATCCAAAATCACGTACGCATGCTCGGTGTGTGTCAGTTGGCATTTCCTCTCTTTCCTCCCCGAGATCCGGCGATCGGAATGCCTTTGGAGATTGAGATGTTTTTTAGAAGCCGGCTGCGCGGCTCAGCGAAACTTTTTATGGTAAAATTGCATTAGAAATATCACAGATGGGGAACATCGCTCGTTAAATATGAGATGCAAGTGAAAGGGAACTTGTTTAGTTTTGTTTTTTTTTTTTGTACCTACATTGTATGATTACCCGGCTTGGGTTTATAGTTAGGCATGAGCTCAGTGTGTTAATGGGTTAATACAAGTAATTGAACATAAAAGCGCAAAGCTCTATTGAGGAAGCGAATTCTCCAACACTTGTTCAAACAGGGCGCTTAACTTGGGCTGGGAGTGGGCCACAAGTGCACCTTGGAATCGCACTTCAGTGCAGTGCCATGGATATGGGATGGGTTCCGACTTGGAGCCAACTCTTCGCACTCATTTCGCGCTTAATCGTTTATTAAAGTTTACTCGAAATGACTGTGGGAAAACTAAATGGATGCCTTACTCGCAATTTTGTTGAAAAATTAAATTAGATTTAAAATTATTACAACATTAGTTGGCATTGAGAAACATTTTAAAAATACTTTAACGATTTCTCATAGCTTCGAAACCATTTAAAATCGAATTTAGTTTAAGCCCTCAATGCAAAATTATATCTCTTAGTTCGGCTTGAGCGATTCAATCGAGTCAGATCAATGAATCCAATTAGTGGAAAATGCACTTAATTTATGAGATCTACCAACTCCGAACTGAAACTATTTGCTAACAAGCTTGGCTAACACGGCTACCAGTTCCAGCTACCTACTTACTACTAACTAGTTAATTCAGTTTACTTATTTGCCCAAGCTCAATGTCTCTCCGTTCCAAAACGGCCGTCACACGGTGCGTATGCTTAATGCGTTTTGCCTTAACTTTGACTTACTCTTGCTGCGAATCCGAGTTGTCGGCTTCAATGGCGCGTGTTCCATTTTATTGGGCCGGCACCAGCTTCACAAGGGGTTTTTGTTGCTCTTATTATTGTCACCTGTCCGATTATTATTATTACTATTTTTATTTGGCCGCATTGTGCGTTGTCGCTGTCAAGTTGCCTTGCCTGACCTTCGATCTCGTTCGCTCTCGATTTGCAAGCCATTAAAAATGATATTTTTCGTAGCTGAAACTGAAATTGAAATTGTATCGAAATCGAAATCCGAGCTGTAAGAAATCAATTACTTGGCTATGCGTAGCCGTGCCTTACTCATAAATTGTTTGCCGCATAGGTTTTTTTTCGGCTTTTATTTTGCCGTGAAAGTTGTTAAACCATTTAAAATTATTATTGTTGTTGCTTTGAATTTGATTTTGCTGAGCAAGATAAATTAATTATTAATGTGGCTCAAATATTTGCAGGCCATTTCACATAAACACAGAAATTATTGCTCATTTTTTCATACCCTTCACTTTTTGTGGCCAAGATACAAAGCCCAGGAATGCGATATCATTGTTGCTGTAGCTGTCTTCCACTTTTTGATTGTTCTGTGTGCGTAAATTGTTGTGGAGCTGAGCTCGAGAGCTTGTTTAGAACACGTAATTGCTGTTGAGGCCGAAAGTGTTTTGGGCTTGGTAGTACCATTAAATCTTCAAGTGGGTGCTCGAAATTTCGGCCCTGGATACAAACTTTATGTTTATTTACGTCTATTATTGGGCACGCAATTCCCGGCTATAAAAAGACTAACTTTATTACACCAATTAATTGTATAGCCACCAAAATTGCGGACATAAATATATTTAATAAAAAAACATTTTAAACAAATTTAGTTATCAAAATAAAAGGGACAACGAACTTTGCCACGCTCACTAAGAATAAACTTTAAAGACGAAGAGGACTTATGAATAATCAGAAGTGTAGCGAATTGAACTTTTTCATTTGTCAACCCAAATTTTAGTAAAAATTAAATGTATCAAAAATTGAAGGAAATAAGTAAAGAATTTTAAAACATTTGTAATGTTTATAATCAAGAAGAAATTGTATTTAAATGTTCTTTTTCTTTAATGTTGAAAGAATATTTGTAAGGGGTAAAACTTAACTTAGAATAAATTAGTGCTAAAAAATGTTAAATCTATCTTTTTTATTACCTTAAATTATGGCACGTTAAATGGGTAATTGGTAATTTTGAATCAATAAACAGCCCACAGCTGCAGATACCAATCGAGTCGACTCAGTCAACTTCAAATTGTTCGCTTGGAAGGCCTCATCGCGAAAAAATCATTTACAAGTTGCCTCATTGCACGCACAGATAAATCAACACTCAACGACAATCGGCAGCACATAAAAATTAATTAATTTAATTACTTATCTAACTGAATTGCTTTGGAGTTTTGAGTTCTCAACTTATGCTTGTGTGTTTTCAATACATTTTTCGATTTTTTTTAATGACGATCGCGCATGAAACGTTCGATTAATTTTTTGTTCTTCTGTGTAAATTCATTTAAAGTGCACTTAAATGCTAGAAATATGTATTTTTTTTGTTTTTCCATGCGTGTTAAAAGTAAGCTTCGATCGTTCTCTTGCAATAATAAATATTTATAGATGCGCCCGTTCTGCTAAATGCCTGACTGCACTTGTTAAGCTCGCCTAGAATCGAAGATAAATAAGAATCTTAATTGATTTTAATGTGCACAGCTGCACTGTTTGGAGCCGCATTTGACGACTTCTGACTATTGACTGACATCCGAACAAAGATCGAAGAGGCTAGTATGGGGCCATAAAGGTAAGTGAGCTGTCGACATACTCATAGAGAACTTGACATAAAATATTGTCTCTGGACAATGGTTAAATGTTTCAGACCTAAATCATTGAATGATTGAATATGTTAGAAGCTGGAACTTTACCCTGTGTGTTTGGTCAATGTTTTATTAATGCATCTAAATGCAAGAGGCCGAGAACAATAGTATTTTCTGTAATGCGAATAATTTTGAATTTGTTACATAAAATTAAAAAAAATATTAAATAAATCCAATAATAAATAAATAAGCCAATGTCGTATAGGAAATCATAAAAACACACAAGTTCCACTCCATAAAAACCTAATACCCATCAGATTAGTTTTATGCCACTCCAATTAGTATGCAAATTCGTGTAATCAAATAGAGTTGGGTAATACTTGGCGGTCCATTCACACGACTCCAAGAACCAACCGCTGGCATCTCTCACGGGCCCAAACAGGAACTCTTCTCCGCATGGGTGCCGGTTTTTACCACTCAATTAACCGCAAGAGCGGTCGAGGTAACCGTTTGAAGATGGGGCTCTCTTTTAGCCGATCTCTCTTCCACCCGGTTGCAGTGCATCCGCCAGGCTGGGAAATTCCCGCTATGCGGCGAGAGAAAGGGCAAGAGACACGGGAATGATTAATTCGACACGTCGTCATGTCAAATATGACGGAACCCATTTGGAGGCGGACATGGCTTGGGATCCGATCCCGGTCCCAAGATCCCGAGAGCCGAAGCGAAATGGAGCACCGCTTCGGGAGCCTCAAAGGGGGGTAGAACCACACTGAGAAAAAACAATTATTTAAAACCGAAATTAAAATAAAAAAAAAATTATGAATAATATTCAGATTTAATTTGATTTTTATTGCCATGAACCTAAAATTATTGAAGGATGAAATAAAAAGTATTCCCTTGACTTTTTTAATAAAATGATTGAGGAATCGAACTCGGACCTTTTCTAGCTAGCCGATGATAGCTTAATAAAGGTTAAAAGATAAATATCCGGATTTTGTAAAGACCTAACCATTTTTTTTTATAGTGCATAACCGGTTCCATTGCGGACCGATTCGAGCTCTAATGTGGAGGGTCCCCCGCACAGCTGGGTTCAGTTTCGAACAAACTCTTGGCCGCTGCGGACGTGTGTTGGAGCCCTCATTTCGGAGGCGGATTCGATTCGTGTGTGTGGTGTTTGGTGTACGGTGTGCTGGTGAGCGAACGCCGACGAGAGTGAATGTGAAACGCTGAAACGTGTCGCGCATGCGCCGTCCTCTTCACCGTTATCGTGGCTCTGTGTGCGGGTCTTTGTGGCCGTCGCCATGCGAAATTGCTCAAATTGTTTGGAAAATAGTGCAAAAACCCGATAAACATTGAACACCCACCTCCGGAGATCATTTGATATTTTTTGTGGATCTTTTTTTTGGCGTTCTGCATCTCTTTTGCTCGCCCACAAATAAACGATTCACCCTCTCTGTCACTTGCTCAGTTTGTCTGTGTGTGTTGGTGCGTTAGTGTTTTTTTCTGATTTTTTCTTCTTTTTTTTTTGGGTCCCCTTTTGGAGTTCCGAGTCTTCTTTGTCCGTTGCTTCGTCGCCGTCTCGGCTTTGCTTACGTTTTCGTTCATGAATTTAATTTATTTTCGTGTTTAATTTTTTGCTGTTTTGCTGCTGCGTCTTCTAGTCTTCCACAGCCTCCCATGCAACAAAAGATGGGCTTTTGCGCAATTTTGGCGACTGCAGAAATATTAAGAAAATCTAAAGGTTCAGGGCTATCAAAAAATGTGAACCAAACGGAAGTCTCTGAAAATAGGTCTTATAGGTCGGTCTAGCCTATAAATTATTGCCGAAAATCGAAAATATTTGTAAATACTTATCAGTTTTTCAACGATAACGTAATTGATTAAAGTGACTAAGTTAATCTATAGAAATAGATAATTTTTTCTCACATTAGTGCTATATAAAGTCTTACTTTTCTGACCCTCTAACTGTTTCGAGAATGCTTGGCACGACAATTATAATTTTGTTGCCATTTTCATGTTATTCAAATAGTGGCAGATTCTGGTTTTAGGACTGCGTCAGAGAAGCCTGTTGCTCAATAGGAATTTCGGAATTTATTTGATCTCGGCTCGAACTTTGGCCAACAATTTCTGAAATTAGCCACAGAAATGTTTATTAATTAATATGAAACAGCCGGGGGCTGTGGCTAATGTTTGGAAAGCCAAAGCTTTTGCCTTCTTACCACAATACAATCTTTTGTATTGTACCGTAATTTCAAAGTGATTATTGCCGTTCAGTCTTCCACGCTTTCTGGACTTTCTCTCTCCCTCTCGCTCCCACCTCGGACCTTTTTGTCTTTTGGCCAACGCGGATCGCCCACAATTTTAACCGACCATTTGGGCTTAGCTTTTGCCGCATAAAAAGTTTTCTCTGCTCCGTCACTTAATAATAATTTCTAAACAAACTCCAAATTGCAATGGGCGGAAAAATGTTAAGAGGTGGAAGGGGGTGGTTAGGGGAGGCGGGCGGTCTTTATGACTTTGTTAGCTTTAGCACTCTGCAGTTGCTGTAATGTTAATTGTTTGCAGTTGTGCAATGGCATTTTATATATTTTTTACTTCTCTTTATCTTCGCTTTGCTGCTTTGCACATACATTATTTCTATGCTTTTCGATGTTGTCCGTTTTTTTGTATTATTTTTTTTTGTTTTTTCGGTTTCCTTCTTGACTACTGTCGATTATGACTAATGGAATCTGTTTGTCGTTTGTTGGTTTGTAAGCCCCCAGAAGGTCAATTGCTTTGTGGGTAATTCCGTTTTCATCCGCCTCTTCGCCCTTTATTTGCTTTGCCATTTATTTGGCCATACTTCCACAATGCATTCAATAAATGCGATTTTATTTGCTCGCTTCACTTTGTGCCATGTAATTAATTGGTTAACATCAACGAACCATTTTGCTGTATACTTTACGCTCTTTGCGGTCGACGCAATTTTCAGTTTTTAAAAATCTTAAAAAATTAATGAGCGAATGAGCCAGAAATAGCAACATTACAAAATGCGGTTCAAAAACGTATTAATCAGATAGAAAATAAAAAAGGGGATAAAAAAAGCATACATTTTTTATTTATTGCAACATTTAAGGAAAGGTTATTTTATTTAAAAAATTATTCTTTTGTAAACAAACAAATTTAATCGGACAACATTCATTTGCCATTTAAAACCTAAGAGCAAGTGACTATAAACAAAATATTCATTAATAGATAACTTCATCAGGTTTTATGCTAATTCAATCGATAAAACCGTGAACGCAAACATTTTAAACGAGAATTGGAGTGAATCGGAAGAATCATCAGATTTCCTAAAACACAGAGTGTGAATCTCGGCATGAATCACTGCATTTTTGGTTATTCATGTCTCACAGAAATCGCTTGTCTCATTTTTCAGTGCAATAATTGGAAACTATGGGATCTCAGCTGAGTAAAAATTAAAGTGTGAACCAAATGTTCAACCGAACCACTGTGATGAAACTTGAAATGATGCAAAAATAAGCCCATGTCCTCAAAGTCAATCCTAATCCTCAAGTGTTAGTTTACTTAATTAATTTAACAATACAAACGCGTCGTAACCGACCGATTTTCGTGCACCACAATAGCGAACAAACGAATAATATACGAAAAAAAAGAAATTGTTTGCAATCAATATGAGTGTTCCAAGTGCGCCCCGTCAGAGGGCAGCAAGCAAAAATCGAGATCCATGTCCCAGCCCAAAAAAAATCCAGCTCCGACATTTTTTGCCCGGGGCAACCTGCGGAGGAGCCCTGCTGTTGCTGCTGATTAGTCTCGCTCTGGATCTGGGCTCCGTGCATTGTTATGGTGAGTACCAACGACCTACCACTTCCCCACATTGTATGGTTATTCAATTCAATTAGGTCTATTTGCATAGACATGATTCGTGATTACAAGGGAAATATTGTTTAGTTGGGGAATGTGAAAACTAATACAAAAGATATAGTTTAGATAGTTTCAATTCAATAAACACAAAACCGTTTCTTTTTGGAAAACTTAACATTTTAGTATAGAACAGATCTGATAATGCCACGATAATCCTAAAAATCCTAGACCATTATTCCTCACTCTAAATTATGTGCAACTTAAACTTATGGAGTTTCTACTATTTTGTAAAATTTAAATGCAAAAAGAAGTTGTTAACAAAATAGCGACTTCAAAGGCAAATAAACCCATCATAGCTTGAACTGTGTAAATACTACCTGGTCAACACTGACGTCATCCCATAGACGCTTTGCATTGGGATCGCCAGACGTGCCAAGATCTCGTGGCTTCAAAATGACCGATTAGATCCCGCCACACACAATTTATTATTCATAAAAAAGTGTATATATTATACATGCACAGATAAAAATATTTCTTGATTTTGTATTAAAGTATATAATTTTTATTCAAAATTTTTAGTTTTAGTTCCATTTAATGTTCTAAAATAGTTTTAATAATTTGTTATGCATATTTTTGTATTGATCTGAAAATATTGTTTATTAGTAAAAGAAAAATGTTATACATTTTACGAGGACACTGAAAAGTTTAATAATAAGTTGTTTATCCCCAGTAAATAATATTATTTAAATTTTGCAGAGTATTTTTTCCCTCAGTATACATTTTTCAAGTCAGAAGTTTGGACAGCAAAGCTATAGATTCCACGATGTCTGACGATACTGGTCACGTACCGCATGTGCAGTGGCGAGGGGCGTGGCTCGATGCTCGATCCGAGTCAAATGTCAACGCACGATCAACTGGTAATCCCCACCGCCCCTCTTGGTCAACCCATTGATTTGTTAGCTTCCTCTCATTTTTGCATTTTAATTTAATTTTTTTCCAACGCCTTACATTGTTTTGGCTTTGCTACTTTGCTTATCATTTGATTTATGATCAGAAACCCAATTTTGTATTTTTATTTTGCAACATTTGGCCTAATGAAATTACTGCAAACAAACGTGAAATATATCCCATTGTGTTGGCCAGACCCGCCCCCCGTGGGGTGACTGTCTTCGTGCCCTCTTCCTGATCAAAAGATCGACGGATTTAGCGATCTCCGATCCCAGCAGGTGGGATGGGGAAGTCGAACATTTAATTCGACTCGGCTGTTGGCAGCAAATAATTTGTTTCATTTTGTTTTCTTTTCATCAATTTTATTAGCATTTGCGAAGGTCCATTGTTTTTTTTTTAGCGTCGATTGATTATATTAAATTTTCTACATGGAATTGAAGGCGAAGTGGAAAGAAAGATCACACAAGCACATTACAAAGTACTGCTAAAGATGATATAATATACAACGAAGGCCGAAGGCTTACTAACCCAGTGCGATGTGTCGCGATTCTATATATATAACGAAAGCTCGAGATGATAAGGAATGAAGCTTTTTCCGTTATCAGTGCAATAACATGTGTCGCCAAACCAAAATAAATAGTAAGCTATTCGATTAAATTATGAATGAAAGTTTCAAATTATCACTGGTAAACATTTTTTTGATAATAATTTTGGTAACAATTTATTACTAATAACTACGAGGATTATTTGAAAAATATATATATACTAAAACTTATACGCTTAAACCAGTACTTAGTTGGAATAGGAGTTGTAAAAAGACATTTGTTGTGAGTATAACCACAATCCCTTTTTCACTCTGATTTATCTCATGGATGCGTGCATAAACATTTTCTTTAATGCCTCACAAACAGACTTTTCTTATCACAATTTGTTTACATTTTTTAAGAGGTGTACCTAGAATTTATGGGACTTATCTATGTTTGTGGTGCTTTCATTTTTTATGTTTTTCCTTTCTATAAAAAATAAGTATTAAAAAATATTTGGGGAACACCCGACATACATTATCTTAACGATAGCATTGGTAAACAAAGAAATCAGCGTCAGTCGAATCGCGAATATCAAGGCGTACGGATCATCTAGAAATGAGCGGAAGAAACGACGAAGCTTCTGGAAGTGGCGGGGCGAGTAATGGGGAAAAAGCTTTGGCTACCTCATCGGAAGAGAGTCGGAGTGCCGGAACAAAGAGAAAAAACGAAGAAAATGATTGTGTAGCCAAGCGGCGGAAAGAGACAAAAGGCGACTCTTCGGTTTTGGTATCAGAGGAACAAGCGAATGGGATTTCCGAGAAAAATAACGAGGGAACTTCTAGTGGATCTTCGCCTCCCACAACTATCCTCGCCATAAACGTCTATTGCTGGGATGTTATAATATCTTACCTGAGCCTGAGTGATCTAGTGCCACTAGCCGCTTCAAGCCGTCATCTTACCGAATTTTTCAAATCCTTAAAACTTAAAGAGGAAAAAAATTACTCGACTTAGGCCAACCAAAACAATCTTCTCCTTAAACGTCGATTGCTGGGATGTTATTCTATCTTACCTGAGCCTGAGAGATCAAGTGCAACTGGCCGCCTCAAACCGTCATCTTACAGGAGTTTTCGAATCCTTACAACATCGTTACAGATGCCTTACTGAACGCGACACGGCAAATATCGACGAAACAGATTTGCATTTATTACTTGAAATCGTTAAAGAGCATTTAATCAGCTATGAGTCATCACTCGATCCTCAGTCCAACGGCGACCAGCATTTGTGGCTGTTGCGCCGTTTTGATAACCTGCGACACCTAAAAATGACCTTCCGGCGACCCAGATTTCACGATTTGAAACAGTTGAAGAGTCTAACATCAATACATGCCTATCTGAACTTCGGCAATGCGGAGATCTACGAGAATTTCGTTCGGAGCCTGACGGAACTGCCTCACCTAAGAAAATTAATATTGGAGTCGAGAGATTATAAAGGAAAGGGACTGCATGTCCTGGAAAATTTGGAATCCCTGGAGATCGGCTCGCATCCCGGATTTGATGCCAACTTTTTAGCGGAGTGTTGCACGAAAATGAAGCAGTTGCGCCACCTTAATATGGGAAAACACATCGATAACCTTACCGCGGAAAATTTTAAGGTAATTGTGAAGAACTGTCGCCATTTGGAAAGGCTGGCTTTTGGAAAAAGACTTCTGGAACCGACTGTTCGCTATGAGATTGTCTGCCAGCTGCCCAATCTGAAACACCTGCAGTTGTTGTATCGGGACTCGCTAAGAACACATTTCATCGAGGGACTGATTCGAAAACAGGGCTTTCCGCTGGAAAGTCTTATTTTAGAGGGAGACTATTTGGAACCTGAGCAAGTAGATCATCTTTGCGAAATATCATCCCTCCGGGAGCTTTCTGTAGCCTGCGAAATTTTTCCATTAAAAAGTCTCTTGAAGCTGCGAACCCTGGAAATCTTGGACATTAGAATGCCAACTGTTACAAATGAAAGCCTATTGGCCCTTCTGGAAGGCTGTCCTCCTTTGCGCGTATTAAGTGTTCGAAGTTGCGGATTAATCACCTCAGATTTTGTTTTGGAAGCAAATCGATTGTATAGTCGCAGAAAGATCAAAATTTACTTGCACCACGCATCAGTTGATTGGCGTAAACTCCCGATTTTAAATGACAATAAGTTCATTCAATTCATAGACGGCTTTTTGAGTAGCCCCATTTTGATAAACCAAGAGCTTTTGTGATACTCATTTTATATTTTTTCGATTGTAAAATTTGTTTATAAATTAAATTTATATATTCAAAATAATATTAATAAATATGATCCATTTAATGCATTTAATTTTTTGTTTGTTTATTATGGAAATTATAGAAATTTAGTGTACTTACTTGAAACAATTTAAAAATTATTCTTTAGGAATTCCCAGCATCGTTTAAAGCACCATAATTATTTATCACATTTCAAGTATTTTTTCCACAGAAAGTAAACCATCAATTAAAATCCGAATAAAATCCCCTATTTATTAAAACGACTAGTTCAGTATTGACCATGATTATGATGATTATCATTTGGACTTTTAAATTGAATGCTTATTCATACATGTCCAATACTGGAAATTTTAATTAGTCAAATGGTATTTTGATTAACGAAATAAAAATGCCCAAAGCGAAGTGGTGGAAAAAAGCAAACCAACTAACTGAATCGTTAACATCGTGTAAGCTCTACGTACATATATATTGGGCAAGTGTTTCAATAGAACTTCGTTTTAGGAATGACTGCATTCTTTGGGAATCGCAACTCTTAATTAAGCCGCTAGAGATAAAATAAATTCTTTGGGCGTCATTAGTCTTAAAGTTAAGCGGGGCGAGAACTCGCACGGGATTGTAAAATTAAATTAAGTCATGTGCGCATTTTTATAAACCGTCAAATTTGGCAACCAATTAACAGCTAACAAATAGATGTCACTGTCTACATTCATTGTTTTTTTCGTCCTCCATAATTAGTATTAATTTTAACAAACTTGCTTGAAAGCGAAAGTTTTTTTGCTTTTGAGTTTGTCGACACATGTGACAAATTTTCAAAAAAAATATTTTAATAAAAACATGTTGCTTGCAAATTTTAAATATTCAAATTTTCAAGCTTAAAATAAATGAAAATCTACATAATTTTAACAGATTTCATAAAGGTACTTTCTGCTGCTCAGAAAGCTTGAAACATGATATTTTATTACTTCACAGTAGGCGTAATAAGCGACAGACATAATTTGTAAGTAAATAAGCTAAAAAAAAACTAATGCGGAGAAAGCTAATTGCCAGTCGATTCATCAACATCTTTCTTTTGGCACTTCTGTGCTACCTAATATTTATATTCCGCTTCGATCGGAAACAAGGCAAAAGTATAAGAGAAGTAACCCAGATTTCAGTCGTTGAAGAAGATGAATTCTTTGTCAACACCTCGGGATGTCAAATAAGTTCGACGGCGGCACTTTCGGAATTCGCATTGCCCTTTATGGAACCGCTTAAACCAATTGTTTGCCGCATGGTGCAGCTGATGATCACGGAGACAATTGGAGGTAGAAATTACCTAAAGCGAAATATATCAGAATCTGACCTTTCCACATGCTGTCGTGTTTTACGCTGGAGAGATGTGTCCTGCATATATCGGGAATTTTTGAGGGCTGATGACTCATACAACGAGTACCAATCCTTGAGGTTTTTCAAGCTAAGCGAACAATCGAGATACCTTGAGGTGGGAACTGGTCAGCAAAACATTCGCACTTGGTGTTGGGTGGACTTTGCCAGGATCATTTTTCATGACGTCCTGTACTTTTTACCAGCCCCGCCAAAAGCTTCCAGCAAGTCTGCCCTCAAGAAAAAGTTGTCTGTGATGATCTTGGGTGTCGATTCTATTTCTCATATGCACTACCTTCGCTACTTTCACCAAGTGGCCGACTTTATCGAGCACTTGCCGCACACCGAATTCTGGGGCTACAATCGAATCGGGTTAAACACCTATCCCAACCTAATGCCACTTGTCAGTGGTCTTAACGTTCATGAGATGGAGGAGTCTTGTTACAACGGCAGACCAAACTTTGACAATTGCACTTTTTTGTGGAATCTTTTCAAGAAGGCCGGTTACAGGACCATTTTTGCAGAAGATACAGATACAGCTGGATTATTTATCTACCTAAAGAAGGGATTCAAGAAGCAGCCCACTGATCTGTACATGCGTCCTCTGATGACCGAGATCGAATCTCATTCATTATATCGCACAAAGTTGGACCTTAAGTGCACTGGGCATCGGCTATATGGAAATTTTTATTATGAATTCGTCTTGAGTCTAATTCCACACATTCAACGCAGTCCGTTTTTCTCATTTTTGTGGAATATGCACGGCATCCACGACTATTTTCCCTATGCCAAGTTTGTGGATAAGGAGTACTTGAATATATTGACCAGGTTCTATGAAGAGGGAGTAATGGATCACACTCTGATCCTCTTTATGGGTGATCATGGTTTGAGGTTCGACCGATTTGCTAGAACTGCTCCGGGACAACATGAAATGTCGCAGCCTCTCTTGATCGCCATCTATCCGGAATGGCTGAAAAGGAAATTCCCCCTGGCCATGTCCAATTTTCAGCGGAACGCCAGGAGTCTGATAACGACTTTTGACCTGCACGAAACCCTCAAAGATGTGATCCATCTAGATCGACTAACCGATGCTAGTGTGAAGAACCGAACGCTATTTCTTGAAAACAGTCGTGGGATCAGCTTGTTTCTGCCCATTCCCAGAGCGTAGAAATTGCCGTTCCGCAGATATACCGCGACATTATTGCCTCTGCAATGAGTTGAAAACGATGTCTATCTACAAGAGTTCCGTACAAGAGGGTGCCCATTTTGCGGTGGACAGGATTAATGAGCTAATCAAGCCATATCCTCAGTGTCAGAAATTGGAGCTAAAGGAAGTTCGCGCTGCCTATCGCGCTAAAGATGAAGCCAGAGGAGACTACAAGCTGTCGCAGATTTTGGTTCGCCTGAAAACAACGCCAGGAAACGGGAACTTTGACGCAACCATTCTTATAACACTCCTTAATGGCGAGAGGGTGGATATGAAACTGGGAGGTCCTGTGACAAGGACAGACAGATACGGCTATCAGTCGTATTGCGTTCAAAACTATCGCATTGAAATGTATTGCTATTGCTTATAAAGGACTGGGAATAAAAAATTATTAAATGTTATTATTGGTGGAATGTAAAATTTATTTTTAGAAAACTAAATATTTTTTCTTATAAAATATTAACATGCAGTTCATTTATAATTGTAATTACATTACAAATCCCATTAACTTTGTTAGATTTTTTAGAAATTTGTTTCACTCTTAACTTTATTAAAACTTAACTTAATTAACCCCTGCGTATTTGTTGTAGTGTAGTAAACTACAATTAGTTATGATGCTCTGTAAGTTTTCTCTGAAAATTAATTATGCAATGCCACGTGAAAAAAAACCAGCGTCTTTTGTTTAAACAGCCAGAGTCACGCACGAGCCGAGATGAAAGTGAATTTCGAGACGTATCGGACTCGTATAAATCAAAAGACTTAGAAAACGAACGCAAAACAGCTGAGGAAACGCAGAGAGCGACTCACGGAAAGTACAATGCGACAATTGATGGCGCCGACAAAGTTGGGCACAAAAAACCAGTAGTTCATATTGTATGTATTTTGTTTTTTAGGGGAATCCGTGATGTCGTGCATGTTTTCCAAAGAGAAAAAACCAAAACAGCTCATATGTGGAAGCTTCTTCGGCGTACAGGTGTTGGTTAGTAATTTTTTTCCTTTTTCGCCAACATTCCGTACAACGCCAACGCAGAGTGTTTGTGTACATATAAGCTATATATATGCGATATTGTTGATCGGAGTCAGCTGAGGCTTCCTCTCTCTGAGTCTCCTCAGCTGGCTACGTTTTTGGTTAACCGGATCTGATTCTGTTTGCCATCTCAGACCTGGAAATTAATGCTGTTTGTTGCTGTTGCCTTTGCTTTTGCTGTTGCTAGCCATCCATCCATCCATCACTCACTCACTCTCGAAAATGGTACGAAATATAGTCATGACTTGTAGCTGTGGCTCGGAACCCCTTCAGCTGTCAACGTCATATGGCTGGCATGGTTTGCTCGCGGTGAAGAATGAAGGCCCACAGAACCGACAAAACAAACCATCTTATTTCGTCCAGAATGGAGCTATGGTCGAATTCGAGGGTGATGCCGTAACAAAAGCTATATTATAACGAGCAAAAAGAACAAATAAACTGGTTTAAATGTCTGCTATGTGTATTCCATCTAAGCACTTTTTAGAATGTTGGGCATGTTTTCTTTTTGGGCTGCGGGCATTGGCTTGTTAATTTGAGAACTGGTTTCTCGTAGACCTTCCCTCTCCCCATCGCAATTATACGCAAATAAACCATAATTATAACGTTTAGCGTCAGAGCAATTACGCCCTGCAGATTTTTATCACTTAAAGGTGTCTTCTGTTTAACAAATATTTATTTTTACAAGCCGTGTTTTTGTGTGAATTATGCTTAAAGTCGGCTCGAAAAAGGTGTAATTATTAATTGAGCTCAACGAAAACAAGGTAGTTAAATTAGGTTTTCTTTCGGTTTATTTTATGAATTTTAATTTTGATTTAAAGTTCAACTATTTGAAACCGAGGTTAAATACTTTGTTGAGCACAGATTAAAATTCTTTATAAATGTCCGGGTGGGGCGATTAGTCAAATTCAATTAGAATTTATCCGAGATTGTATTGTAATTAGTTTTTATGATGACAAGTCGAATGTAGATAATTTCCCAAAATTGCTAGGCAACTAGTTAGAATCACAAAGTGGTAGACAAATATGCAAATTGGAACCATTCCATTGGGTGTGAGTCAAATCTCAGCTGCCCAAGCCTCAAGTCAATCAATTTTCCAGTCAATTAAAACCAAACTAAGTCAACTAAAAACATTTTCTAATATCACAATCTACAATTTATCGGATCACTTTGACTTTGGCCAAAAACCGGCTACTGTCCAGCGACAAGTTTATGCGTAAATTATTTATCTAATTTGAAGTGAACATTTAAGGCATTCTCAGATCTTAACTAGCTCAAATTTATGCGTCATTTACACGCGTAAAAGTGAACTGAATTCACGCAAATAAATGCAAATTAATTTGAAACGTCATCGCCAACACCTTGGTTTTATTACCACTTAATGTATATATTATTTTTTGAATTCTTTCGAAATATCGAATGGATTATGTAGGTGAAGGTTTGGCTGAAGTTATTTTAAAACGTTTTTAGATTTTTTTAATCGATTTATAGATATGAAAACATGGTACATAACCTAATAGGCGCTAGATAAGAAATACAATTTTTCATTTTTATTTTAATTAACACGGTTATTATTAAAGTTAAGAACTGTGAGGTTGACAGACAGAACTAAAAGTAGATTAAATTTTATTGAATAAAATTACAAATTTCTATTAATATCGCATATTTTCTATTTTCCAGAAAAAATGTACAGTCAGACGGAGAAACAGCGCTACGATGGCTGGTACAATAATCTAGCCCATCCCGACTGGGGATCCGTGGGTAAGTGCACTTATCATAATAAACTGGAATTTCCGCCAGGCCGCAGATGACAACTTTCGAAAAGTAGGCGTGATTTGAGCTGATTACGCCTCTAATTAAAATCACTTAGATGATTTAGATTTGCATATCGATTGGTTCTTTCGCAATGCCTGCAATTAGCATATTCGCCAGCTGTGTGAGAAAGCTAACCTTTGCCCTGCCCCTTTTCAGATAGCCACCTGGTGCGGAAGGCGCCGCCCTCCTATTCAGATGGGGTCTACGCGATGGCAGGTGCCAACCGACCCTCGACCCGTAGGCTTAGCAGGCTCTTCATGCGCGGCAAGGACGGACTGGGGTCAAAGTTCAACAGCACGGCCCTGCTGGCCTTCTTTGGCCAGCTGGTGGCCAACGAGATTGTGATGGCCTCCGAGTCCGGCTGCCCCATCGAGATGCACCGCATCGAGATCGAGAAGTGCGACGAGATGTACGACAGGGAGTGTCGGGGCGACAAGTACATACCCTTCCACCGGGCAGCCTACGATCGGGACACCGGCCAGAGTCCGAATGCCCCGAGGGAACAGGTGGGTGATGCACAACCATCGGATGCGTTCCACTGACATCCACTACTGAAATCATACTCCGCAGATAAATCAAATGACTGCTTGGATTGATGGCAGTTTCATTTACAGCACCTCCGAGGCCTGGCTCAACGCCATGCGCTCCTTCCACAACGGCACCCTGCTCACCCAGAAGGACGGCAAGCTCCCGGTGCGCAACACCATGCGGGTGCCGCTCTTCAACAACCCGGTGCCGAGTGTCATGAAGATGCTCAGTCCGGAGCGGCTGTTTCGTAAGTTACACTATAAATAATAAGTGAGGGAAATTACATTATTTATAGTGTAGTTTTTAAAGAAATATTTACAAAATACAGCTTTTTTTTAAAAGAGATATATATTTTGACATAAGTTTGATTTTAATATCAATTAAAACGATATTTTACAACCGGCGTTATAACGCCCTTTTAAAGAAAATAAGAAAATAAATATAAAATAATAAAATAGGAAAAAAAAATATTTTTTTATTTATAAGAAAATTATCTTTGTATAACACTGGTCGACAAAAAAAAAGCCCAAGAATAAAAGCTACCAAACGTGAAAGGATTTTAGCTGTAGATTACTACCTCATACTTGGAAACTTTCCATCACGTCGAAGTTTTGAGAAATCCGTGGTCAAAGTTCCGAATTTTCGATTTTTAGGCACTTTTTGCGGCTTAATAGTAAGAAAACCTTTCGTAGCCCAGAGCCACAATTTAGCGGAAATGGTACCTTGAACCTTTAACTTCAAGAGTGTCCAATCACAAAGCTGGGCGACCTCTACTTCTTTAGCTACAATGGATTTTACAGAAGTACTTTTTGTCACTTTTTTTCATCTATAGTAGCCTGATATTTTTAATGTATTGTATCTATCAAATAAAAACACCTCTTAACGAGGTAAAAAACTAGTGACGACCGCACCTTCAACATACAAAAGTTCTGATATCAACATTTGTGACGAAAAATTATTACACTCGTCATTAAATAGACTTTCTAATATTTTCTCATTCGGCCCGCCCTAGCAAACTATTCCAGCCTTTTTCCCTTACAGGCATTTTCTATTGCAGCGTGACGAATGAGAAAAGATTAGAAAGTCTATTTAATGACGAGTGTAATAATTTTTCGTACAATGTTGATATCAGACTTTTGTATGTTGAGGTGCGGTGTACTGTTTTACCTCGTTAAGAGGTGTTTTTATTTGATATCAGAAGTTTTTGTTTGTTTACATTTGCTCTCATAGGAGCTAATATATACATTTAAATTTAAATTGGTCAATCATAATTTTTAAACTATTGTATTTTAACAAATTAAGTTAAAAAGGCGTTGAAGTATTTCAAAATACCTTTTTAAACGAGGTATAGTACATGTCTGTACCTTTAGTAGTGTAGAACTTACAAACTAACGAAATTTAGCTATTTTTAGTTTTTCCCGCTAAAGTAGCGGCTTTTTCCAAAAGTCGTAGAACAAAGATTCCTATATGGAACTCTTAAGTGCAAATTTACTGATTCCATGACCCTAAAGTACAGTTCGGATACCCTCCCACAAATTCAATACTCAGGGAGCGTTAATTGTTCGAGCTGGCAAAAGTGGCTATTTTCGAATAAAAACAACTTTTAAACGTGACTTTTTACAGTAATGTGTTATATACCAAAATTTAAGGAATCTCAGGGCTATACAGTTTAAGGTTTTAAGAAAATCGTTAGAGCCGTTTTTGAGAAAAATAAAAAAGCTAAAAAAAGTTTTAAAAATTGTCTTTTGTTCATATTTTTTAAGTATTACATTTACACAAATTGCATATAGAAGGCGTTTATAGCATTTAAAAATACCTTTCAAACGAGATGCAGCACAAGCCTGTAGCTTTAGTAGTATAAGTTACGGCTTTCCAATTTTGCTACTTTAGCTGTTTTCCCGCTAAACTGCGGGTTTTTCAAAGTGGTAGAACAAAGTTTTTTATATCGATGTGATGAACGTCATATCAAATTTTCAGAACTTAAAAACATATTTTGGCAAGTG